GACTTGGTCTTAATTCTTTTTGGTGCAAATTTTCCAACTTTAGATTTTATTGATGTAAGAAGACGCTACCTTATTCAGAAACTTGCCCCAATGAAGCTTATTGAAACGTTACTCTAAATAGTGTTTCAATAAACTAGCTTATAAGCTCATTTTCACCATCCAAACGAGACTTTTGTAATAATTTTTAAAAAATAAGCTAAGTTATGTTTGCCAAACATAGCCAGCTATTAATAACCTATAAACAAAACACAACATAATCCAACATCACCACTGCAAAAACATGACAAAAAACCTATAATCAAGATAAAAGAACCTGTAATTCCGATAGATGTCCTGACCAGTGTGAGAAAGTACCATTTAAGTGGTTGTGGGGAGTCTTCCTTTGAGAACTATCTAATCTCGAAGATCCAATTTTAACCACAAAAAAAAAATGAAAATAAAATATAATACAAAATTAAAAATCTTTCCCTTTCTGTCATCTCTCCTATATTTTCTTCCATCTTTCCCATATACTTCAATTTAGATTTAATTACAAAATAATTTATTTTTGGTTTAAAAATATAATTATTTATAAAGGTAATAATTAAACATTTTGTTAGAACTCAATGATTATCTTAATTATATTTTATATTTTATACGTTTAAAATGAATGTTTATCCCATATTTGATTATGTTTATCTGCAGTTAGTTATACGAATTTAAAAATAGAGTTTTAATAAATTGTACTCTTAAATTTTAAGTAATATACATCAATAAACAGTTCTTCATGCATAAAAAGTAGTTTTTAAGAGTTTTTGTCAAATGCATAAAAATATAGTGTGTGTGTGTGTGTGTGTGTGTGAGAGTGTATATATATATATACACTAAAAGGGCACTCGTGCAATGCGGCGAGATATATTTTGATTTTAATATTTTATTTTATTCTTTATCTCAGACGATGTTATGGTACGGTCTTATGTGAATTTGAAAAAACGATGATGTTTTTATTTTTGAATAAAATATAATTTTGAAGATATTAGAAAATTTTGACAATATTAATATCAAATTAACTATTTAAAATTCATATTTTTTATGTAATTTTTTTAATTCAATTTTTTTTTTATAATTTAATTTAGGTTCAATAACGAAATAATTTATATTTGGTTTAATGATATAATTTTCTTATAAAGATAATATTTTGTTAGAACTCGATAATTATACTAATTATATTTTAGATTTTTTATATTTTAAAAAGATATGTTTATCCTCAATTTGATTACGTTTATCCGCAGTTAGTTATACGAATTCAAACATGAAGGTTCAATAAGTTGTACTTATGCATAATTTACTTGTAATCTTGAATTTTAAGTAAGATACATCAATATACATTACTTAATGCATAAAAAAAATAATTTTTAAGAGTTTTTATCAAATGTTTTATAATATAGTATAGATACACACACACAATATTATAAATTTTGTATTTATATAACAAAATACGAATT